TGAGAGACTGAAGGTGTGTTACCAGTCCACAATTCCTGAGCTGTCTTGCCAAGTTAGCTATTGTAGGACACCTGTTAAGAACATGGGTGGCCCAAGTGACAACTTCAACCCAGAGCTATAAATAGGAACATGTGTATCTAGTAGCATACACCTGACCATGTTCATCACAGTTCTGTTTTTCCTCTCAGCCACTCCATTATGTTGTGGTGTGAGTGTTGTTGTCAATTGCCTTCTTATTCAAGCCTCCTCACAAAGTTCTTTGAATTCGCTAATCATGAACTCACCACCCCTATATGTTCTGAGACTTACAATCACCATGCCAGTCTCTCTTTCTACTTGAGCTTTATACTTCTTAAACCAGCTTAGAGTCTCAAACTTAACAAATAGAAAATGACCCACAGTTTTCTACTATAATCATCAGTTAAGGTAAGAATATACCTCTTGCCACAGTTGGAAGCTAGTGTGAAAGGGCCACACAGATCAGCATGGATTAGTTGGCGCTTTTGTGAAGCCCTTCACTGACTTTTCTTTGGGAAATAATTCTTGTGTTGCTTTCCAACCTAGCAAGTTGAGCAGATCCCAGTATTTCCTGTCAGTTGAGGCAACCCTTGAACTAGCTCCTTCTTCTGGATCTACTGCAGACTCTAATGCTTAAAGTGTCCAAATCTCCTATGCCACACGTCCATGTCAAAGTTTGACATTCCTCCCCCAGTCTGCAGGCGCTGAATGTTGTGGTTCTTCTGGTTGATGCTGACTGTAGTGCTATGTAGCACAAACATTCGGTTGGACTTCATCTGTGTCTGCAACAGAAGCCCGTTCTCTTCATGAAAAACTCTGCAACACCCATCATTGATCAAGAATGAGAGGCCCTTCTCCTACCACTGACCAACATTGAGCAGGTTTTTCTTAAGTCCTGGGACATAAAACACATCATGCACCACAACTAATAGCTGGTTGATCATCATTTTCACCCTGCCTTTGTCAACCACATTGAGTTTGGAGTTGTTCCCCAGTTTGACATTATAGGTAAAACCAGTATCCATCTCAGTAAACTATTTTTGCTCCCCGTTCATGTGATTGGAGTAGCCAGAGTCAAGAAACCACCAATCTGAATCCTTGTATGTAGAGGCATCCTCTACAAAAGCCAAGAAGCAGTCAGTTTCCTCCTCTTCATCATTAGTCAGGTATTCAACTTGAGCCATCAACAACATATCATCCTTCATATCTCCATATGACTGATTATCTTGAATATAGGAACTGGAGTAAGGAGCTTGTTGATTGTTATACCATTATGGGCACTCATTCATGTAGTGTACCAATTTGTGGCATTTGTAACATTCAACAACCTCTTTGTTCCAAATCCTTCCTCTACCTCTTCCTCCTCTGCCACCAAATTCATGAGTGGTTTTGAGAACCTGATCCTCTTCTGCCATAGTCCTTTTTGTGAATTTTTGCTCATGAACAATGAGAGAACTCTAAAGAGACTCAACAGATAACTCTTCAGTGTTCTTGGTCGCCTCAATTGAACAAACCACAAATAAATCTTTCAATAAGGGTCCTAAGGATCTTTTCCACGATTTGGACATAAGGCATTTCATCACCACAATTTCTCATGGCATTACCGCATTAGCTATGGTCATAACTCTACTAAAATAACCATCACATACTCTCCCTCTTTCATTTCAATAACCTCAAAATTCATTCTAAGAGCCTGCAGATTTGACTTCTGGACCCTAGCATTGCCTTGATCCTTAACTTTCATAGAATCCCACAAGTTTTGGGTAGTACCTTTCTTGGATATTGTCTTGAGGATGGTTTTGTCAATGGAGCTGAAAATATAGTTCTTGTCTTTGAGGTCCTTCAGCTTCAGATCTTCCAATGACTTTGAATAAGCCTCTGAGAGCTGCTCATCACTTCTGTCTTTGTATCCATGTTGCACAGCATGTCGATACTCCTTTGATCGAAGCAGGTTTTCCATCAGAAGGCTCTAGTGGTCATAGTCACTATCTTGGTAAACCCACTTGAGCAAAGCTGCCTGATTAATTCATTTTGTCAATCTGCACAAGATCGTCTTGAAAGCTGATCTTGTCACCTACCCGGTGTTTAGGATTTCCTCACACGGTCTCTCGTGTTTCCCAAACCCAATATGCAATTGAAAGCAGTATCACACTCACTCTAACTCTTATGATTGCTTGAAAGCCTTGGTTACAGCTTGCTTGTGCTATAATACCACAATGATAGCACAAATGTATTTGCAATCTGACAAAAGCTTTATTGAATGGAAGACTAGGGTACTTATACTTTGTTTCAGCCACAATCACTAGCCTCCACAACGCTAACCACTAACTTAATCACTCAATAAATCACCTAACACGACTAACAATAGAGTTGGAAACACTTCACATCTCTTAACAACTCGACATGACTAAAATGACTCAAACATGAACTTTAAGGACTCATTACATAATAAACCAAACGACGTCGTTCTTCTTTATTGACACATACCGATTTAAATGCTTCAACCTTGGCACACTAACTTCAATCCTTCTCCTGATAGGATTCGGATTTTCAATCCCTGTTGCAGGCCCGTCTCAATCTTTAACACATAATTGCCCATTCTAGATTTTCTCTTCCAAAAATATGGTGTTATTAAACGAGAAAGCATATGTTACATAATTATATACTACAATCACTACAAAATTATATTTCTCTTCTTTTATTTTAATCATATCTAACGACAGTAAGATACTAAGATTAGGGGTGTTCAAATGGTTACCATGGTTATAACCAAACCAAATAAGGCTAAATTCCATTAACCGTATAATACAATATCATAACCAAACCGTCCAAACTAATACAACAACCAAATTAACCAAACTAAAGTTTAATCGGTTTGGTTAATTGGTAAACCAGATTAACCAATATAAAATCACATTATCATTGACGATGAAAATTTTCCGGTTAATGCAACAATTCGCAATTTATATAATGAATAAAACATAACAATCAACATGTAGTTATAGTTGACCCTTAACAAAAATACATGCAACTAAGACAATTATCTTACGATTAGTATAGAAGTATTCACCTAAACAAAAATTTATGACAATGATATGGGTTAATGAATTGTTGTGTTTGTGTAAATTGACTTAGTCTCTTAGCAATTATCATAGGCTGGAAATGACCTTCCTTTCAAGTTTTCATCCATCATAATGTATGAAATTTATCTAAATTAGGCGTCCATATGTTGTGGTCTACATTTTACATATACAAATATACACTATATGAGCAATATTGAGCTTTATATTTTATGAGTTTAAAAGGGATGAACGTTAACTCTTGAGTGGTTATGCAAAGTATTTAAGTATGTGTATATAATATATGTAAGATATATGACTAATTATTTAACTGGTTAATTTGGTTTGACTGGTTAGGAGTGTCTGAAACCAAACCAAACCAAACCACCTAAACCAAACAAGCTAAAAACTTTAACCAAACCAAACCAATTATCCAAATTAACCAAACCAAATTATCCAAATAGTACTGGTTAAAACGGTTACCATGGTAACCAAACCGTTTGAACACCCCTAACTAAGATTCATTAACAGCCTGTTTGGATACAATTCAAGAAGAAATGGAAATGGAATTCTATTTCCAATTCCTATTTTTATAGAATTCCATTTCCAATTTTAGTGTTTGGTATAATTCCTCCAACTAAAGAAATGAATTGCACTTTTAACAATAATTAATAATATAATATATTTATTTTATCTTGGGAAATGAAATATGAATGATAGAGAAAGAGAGTAGTGTGATAGTTGGTTAATAAAATAATAATAAATAGTGATGGGACCCACTAATTCCATATTCATAAACACAATTCCTATCACTTTTGATAGGAATTGTAATTCTCAAAACTTAGCCCAAATGGAATTCATTTCTCAACCTTCTTATCCTTCCAAACATAAAATATGGAACTGAAATTGAAAATGGAATTCCAATTCCTGAGTTTTTTGTCTATCCAAACAGGCTGGACTGGTAGTTCGCACCCCTCTGTCTTTTTTGTTTTTGTTTTTGCACAAGATTTAGATGAGAGAGGGGAATTTTTATGACAGGTCAAAGACTACTTTTTCTAATCTCTCATTTTTGTTAATCGAGTCGTAACTATTTTGTTTTAACTTGGAGTTTGATTTTTTTCCACATAAATAACCATTAATTAAGATCTAAATAATGATATCCATTTTGTTCTATTTTGAGCAAACAAATGAGTTTTTTAAAGCACATGCTGGTTGTAGTATTATCACTATCATATCATTATTATCATTGATCACAGTGGCATGATGAGATATCTCTTTCGTTTTAACTCAAAATTAAAAAATAATTTGTATAGAAAGTATTTATTTATTATGCTCTACACAATGATATCCATAGTGTTATGTTTTGAACAAAAGAATAATTATTCATTCAAAAACACGTGTTTGCTATCATCTTATGACATGGAGAGGAGATAACGACCCTACCTGTGCATTTTTGGACGAGAGGATGCTTGCTCGAACAACATCAATTATCTTAAAGGATAAGAGATCGAGTAGTATAAGATTCATAATTGATCTTCTTTTCATTACTCTAGTTATTGAAACCAAACAATTTATGACATGACATTAGAACTGATTTGGCCAAGTGATCGTGTGTTTAAATCTCAAAAAACACCCCACACTAATCATTGATTTAAACATAAATTATTGTGGACCAGTTAAGTTAGTAAGATCTATCCTTAACATTTTCCCAAAGTCGAGTTAAACAATTAAACGATTTATGACATGAGATGTTTAACCAATCTCATGACCTAGGTCTTCTTTTCCAGTATGTGCTAAAGTAAAAATTATTTGACCCATGATGTTCTCCCACCACTAAGAAGTTAAACCATAACGCCAATGCGAGTTCGAGAAAGCGTAAGAAAGGAGTAACTCCCTTGATCATTAAGTATAAACTTGGAACTAATTGAAGAAGAAAATTGCAGAAAATTGGTAATTACTCATATACACAACTGTACTGATAGATGCCTTCTTCACTGGGAGATATTAGAAGCAAAAGGCAATCATCGTGGGAAGGAATATGCAAATATTTCAGCCGGGTCACAATGAGAAAGGCTTGGAGTAAACATCAAATGGCTCATTTGCAGTCAGCTGTGGCTCCTGCAAATCAAACAACAACCCAGCAGCAGCAGCAGCATCCATCAAAACAGACTTCACAACTTCCTTCCAAGAAAAACCATAGACAGACAGACAGACAGATAGATAGATACCTGTCTCAACCCGCTACCAAGGCTGCCTCCGGCTAGCAGCATGGTGAGAAGAGAAGTAACGATCCCACCGCCATCTAGCTCATTACTCGTCTTGCGAATGGTGGTCCGCATCGAATTCAACATGTCGCCATACGTAGTGCCATGCCCGCGCTCAAGCGCTTGAATGAATGAATATGTCATTGCCCCTGTCGAAGTGACCTTGGATAGAGCCTGCTCGACAAACATCCCATTCTTAGTTTCTTACAGGATTACAACTACCTATATGCAGAGCAAAATTCACTCTCTTAACCAATTCACCGCGATATATCAAAGGCATTACCGATGTGTCAGCAGAGGTTTGATTGTCATCGCAGCCACTGAAAGACACAACTTCTCCTCCGCTCGTTCCTTTCCACGCTCCCGATCGCGGCCTGTGATCCTCCCACACGTACTTTCCGCCCCTGCAAACAGTCCAGCTTTCTCTGAATTAGGGATATGATTGACCACGAGAGACGTGCATTCAGTTTACTGCTTAGCATCACTACCTATCCATTCTGCAGAGGAATGGCAGGTCCAAAACGGTGCCGCTGTGGCAGGCGTCTACAATGGCGTGGAGCTTCACTCCTGCGGGGAGTGGCTTTACAATGGTCGCATTGATCTCGTCGTCAACGATCATACCTTGGGTTTCGAAATCCGTGGGGCAGAGGGTTTCGTCGTACCCGTCGACCTCGTCGCCATTGTAGTTCCTCTGCTGAGAGCCGTGGCCGGAGAAGTGAAACAGCAGGGAGTCTCCCGGTTTGCAGCCTTGTACCAGCCAGTACAACGCCATTCTCATGTTCCGCTTCGTCGGGATTCTGTACGGGTCCGTTTCTTCCTCTGCCAAACAAAATTTTCGTGATTTCAATTGGAAACCAATTCTGATTTTTGCTATGTTTGACAAACCCTAACCGGAAGGAAATCGGCAGACGAATTCAAAAACAAGGTAAGGAATTTGGGGGAAAATAGTAAAAGTAAAAAAGAGTACCGGTGAGGAAGACGATGGAGGATTCAGGGAACTTGAATCGATTGATCAACAGGTACTTCATGCATTTGGCGTCGTTAATGCATCCCTTGAGCTCGTGCTTGGTCTTCCGGTAAGAGATGCCGCAAATCACGGCGCGCTTGCTGCCGTGGGCGGCGGGTGGGGGCCCCGGTGGCGCGTGGTTGTAAGGGGAAGGAGAAGGGCGGTTGGAGAGGCGATCGTTGCTATTGTGTTGCTGAAGAGGAGAGGCGGCGGCGGCGGCGGCGGAGCGAGGCTGGGCGATGAGGGTGACAGCGTGGCAGATGGCGCAGCGGATGGATTGCGCCGCCGGCGGAAGCTGAAGAGGAGTCCGGCAGTTTGAACAGTCAACCAACATGTACATGGTTGGCGGCGACGAATGGGGCGAATCGGAGAGAGAAGGAATAGCAGGTGGAAGCGAAATGGAAATGAAATGGCGGAATGGAGAAGGTAGGGGAAGAGGATTGGCGATTGGAGAGAATGGCGAAGTCAAAGAAATCGGAACCTTTCGGCCGATAGGAGAGGGGAAGGAACGCGGAGTAGAAATGAGTTGGAAGACGAGTAGGTGTGGGGCCGGACCATAGCTAAGTCTGACAAGTGGCAATTCTTTTTGTTCTACAAATAGTGAGCATTTCAGGCCCAACTCCAAATTATAGTAAGCAATGTTACAAAATAATTACTCCCGAACACGCCATTAACGAGAATAACTTATTGATTGAGTACCCTTATAATCCAGACTATATTGATGGGAGAGAGTTACAGAAATGTTAAGATCAGGTGACTGGGGCGTTATCCTTAGTAACATGACTACGTAAATTTCAGTCCTCCCGCTTTATTAAAATTCAGTGATTCCAATTAATTCCATTTAATGAAGAATAATGTAGTAATTATGCAAATTATTTATTTAATTATTAAAATAAAAATAAGTTGGACCCACTGGCAGAGCTGTTCTCCCACCCATCGGTCGAATAATTATCCCCGACGACGTCATCGGAATTCTCCCCCGAGCCAAAGTTGATTATATGGTCATAGTTCAGGCCAAAATAAGATATTAACCTATATATATGGTGGCGTCTTCGATGCACCCACTTTTTTGGGTGCATTCAATGCACTCGATTCATAATCGTCATTCTAAACATGCGATTCATGTCAAAATGATGTCAATCATCACTGATGTGATGAACAATAAAGCCCGTGAATTTGCACAAAAACCATTCAAGATTTACTTTAATTTGAAGGATTTACAGTTTAGAGATTTAGAGCTAGGGTTAGGGTTTACAATTTGGGATATAGGGATAGAATTCAAAATTGGAGGTCTACGACTTAGGGTAATCTGTTAATTAGTTGTTATCATATATTAGATCATCATATTACACTAATTCTATAAATTAAAATTCAAAATTCGACACCTTAAAACTAATTTTTGAGTTAGGTGCATTGAATGCACTCATTTTTTATTACGTGTCAAAGTCATGTTACGTGTCAAAAATCCTAAAAAATTATAATATAAAATAAGTATGTTTGGAATTCATAGACACAAAACCGCCAATAATATTGAAGAACTGAATTTTGTTTATCTTGAACCATCATATCCCGAATTTGACCCATAAAGATGCTTCTCATCTCATCTTCTTGAAAATAAGATGAAATCAAAGATTAATAATTCTTATGAGATATATTATCAAAAAAGAAAAAAACTTATGAGATTTAGTGAACAAAGTATTAGTAGAGGAGGAAAAAGATTGACACAAACCTTGCAACAAATAAGTTTCAGTGGTAAAAGAATTTTTTGTTGGTGACTATAACTATATAAGGACTATTAGTATGCAACAAGTAAGTTCAGATAAAAAAAATTAAGCTGCCTAGATAAACATGACCAAGGGGTAAAAGCAAAACCAAAGAGCCAAAAACTTAAATGGGTAAATTAATTTATATGGCTAAATTACACGTTTGGTAACTCAAATTACACAAATTTTTCACGTTTGCCGCCCGAATTACTTTTCTTTCTTATTCGTTACTAACTTTATGAATTGTTTCACCGTTAGTCACCGGTCGTTGAACTCCGTTAAATTTGTCTTACGTGGCAATCAACTATAAAATTTGACCATTAATTAGATGAGATGGAAATAAAAAATAAATAAATTATTAAAGTATTTTTACACCTCATCATTCCATCTACTTTTTATTTCCTAGCACCGCCGCCGATCTGCTCCAGCTTCTTCCTCAGCCACCTCGCATGAACCCAACCCCGCCACCGTGAAACAAGGCCAAAATCCTACTCCAATCTACAGGATGAAACACCACCAGCGACTGCATCGTGAAATTAAAACCCGAATCCCTGGCGTCCACCACCCTCTCCATGACCCTCGAACCCAAATACAAATCGTTGTTATGCCCCCACTTGTTCCCGTCAAACGTCCTCGCGAACTCCAAGATGAACCGATAAACGAGCGGGTGATTCCGGTGGAAAATTAAGACGACGTTGTTCAGTAGGCTCCACTTCCCCATCCCGACATCAAATGTCCGTGCGCCGATGGAATTCCTTAGCTTGGCAAGGCTCCGCAGGACCACGACGTCGGTGTCGAGGTAGATCCTACCGAACTTGTAGAGCAGGGCGAGGCGGAGCAAATTGGAGAGGATGAGTTTACCATTAGGCATCCCGATTCCAATGTGTCATCTATCTGAGCTGGCCCAATACCGATGCCCCTCTCCCTTCTCTGTCAGTCCTCTGGCGATTCTGTTTCGCTCCCAATGCTTTTCTGTGCCAATTGAATTCAGCGGCCGACACAGATAAATCGCAAAAATTTCCCCATCAGCTCGTGTTGGAGTCTGGGAAACAACCCACCATTAAACCAACATATCCACAGTTAAAGAGATGGAAAATGGATCTTTTCTTTGATGTATCATAGATTTGGGATTGAAAGAATTTCACATAGCCACACAGAGCAAACCCAGAGTACAATTATGCTAACTTCTGATAAACAGACCTATGTTGTTTCCCCCATCCAAAGCAGCTAGGCTAAAGATGCTATTGTTGCTACTGGCTTCTGGAAGTTACATGTCGTTGTCGAGGTGAGAACACCGTCAGCGGCAGAAATGGCTCAACTTCTGCTTCTATGAAAAGCTGCAGTATTAATCGAAGTATAATCTTCCTGCAAAGTGTGATTAGATCCATCAGCGGCGGTGCTTGGTAAATCAAAGTAAGTGAAATGATGAAGTGTAAAAATAATTTAATTTTTAATTTATTTTTAATTTCCACGCATAGTTAACGATCAAATTTTATAGTTGACTGCCACGTAGGAGAAATTTAATGGAGTATGAGGGTTAGTGACTAACGGTGAAACGATTCATAAAGTTACTGGCGAACAAGAAATAAAAGTAATTTGGGTGGCAAACGTGAAAGATTTGTGTAATTTGAGTGACCAAACGTGTAATTTAGCCTAATTTATATTCAATCACAATTCCAACATAGCGTTAATGCCACATTTGGTCACTATGATTACTAAATCGTGTCATGTTTAGTCACTAGAAAAAATTAATATCAAATTTGGTCACTCGAATTACTCAAACAAGTCATATTTAGTCACTCTCCGTTAGTCTCCGTCCAACTCTGTTAATAAAGTCTTTTATGTGCTGACGTGGCTAATGGGAGCGCCTAGTCAGCGTCATTTTGGGCCGAAAATGGTCAAACCCGACCTGCCACGTCACTAAACCAACCATGTCATACAAACCCATTAACCCTACACACCAACCCACCCAACTCTAGCCCACTTAACAAAACAAAATTGGAAAAGCTCCAACTCGTTCTCCTCCTCTTCACCGCCGTCTTCCACAATGAAACAACATCAGCAGTAGTTGCAAGATCATCACGATTAGAAGGCCCTTTCGAGGTCTCTCCCTGGAAAACTAGAGAGCTTCAGCGGTGAGTTTTTGGTTCCCAGCTACAGAGAGTCGTCGTTCTTGGACCCAAAGGGCAGAGGCGGGTCCCAGGGTTATCACAAGGTGGTGGTGCTGCCCCACGGCGGGAGAGGGGATGAGGAAGAGTTGGCGAAGGAGATGTAAAGAACGCGGCGGCGTCGAAGGGGAAGATTTCATTGAGCGTGACCAAGAGCAAGCCGAAGACAGTGGAGGTGATTGGAATTTTTGAGAGCGTTCAGCCGTCGGACACCGATTTGGGCGCCTCAAGGATGTGAAAATTCAGGGGGTTTGGTATGCTCAGCCTGATTAAGTAGAGAGGAGAGGTTGATGATGAAAAGCTTTTGTCTCTGCAAATGTTTGGAAGTGAAACTTCTCTATTCTCGATTTTAGGGTTCGTGAAAGTACCCAGCCATATTCTTGATTTCTTGCGCGGCTCCCTGATTTCGGATACCTATTTCCCCCAGCTCCGCATCCGGACTCCCCTGTACACAAGGTGCTTGCTGCTGCAGTCTCATACCCGCTTCTTCTTCTTGTTGGTGGAAGCAGAGGAATTCGGGGAGTCCCCATCTTCATGATGATCTTGCAACTGCTGTTGATGTTGTTTCATTGGGGAAGCGGCGGTGAGAAGAGGAGAACGAGTTGGAGCTAGGGTTTTCCAATTTTGTTTTGTTAAAGTGAGCTAGGGTTGGGTAGCGTTAATGGGTTTTGTGTATGACATGGCGGGTTTAGTGATGTGGCGGGTCGGGTTTGACCATTTTTTGCCCAAAACGGCGCTGATTAGGCGGTCTCGTTAGCCACGTCAGCACATAACGGACTTTATTAACGGAGTTGGACGGAGACTAACAGAGAGTGACTATATATGACTTGTTTTAGTAATTCGAGTGACCAAATTTGATATTAATTTTTTCTAGTGACTAAACATGACCCGATTTAGTAATCAGAGTGACCAAATGTGGTATTAACCCTTCCAACATGTAATAAAGGACAAAAATGGGAGTGACCCTTGAAAAGGGTACTCTATATTCCAAGAAAGTGCATCAACAAAAAGACAAAGCCAGAAGCTTTCGATGATACCCTGTTTTCCAAAAAATTGAAGCCAAAAAATTGAAGCTAAAAAAACAGAGCTGTACGGTTTGATGAAAATCTATTCCCCAGAAAAGTGAAGCCACGAACTATAGAGGTAAAGGGATTCGTGTAATCGAGAACTTTAGAGTAATCCAGCGATTCATGTGACAGTAGAGGACCAAGGGATTATGTATTCTACAAAACTCAAGAGGAAACCATCAAATCGACGCCAAAACGGTAAAATTGATTTGCTAGATGAAGGGTATTTGGTACATGCAGCGTGTAAACCTAGCATTTCAAACCAAATCAGTGCCTCGCCATCGAATCACAGTAGTTGCCACGCCGTCGAATCACAGGAGAAGAGGCCAAAAGGTTTTGAAGAGATTATGTATTCTGCGTATGGCCCCCCCCCCCCCCCCCCCAAAACTAATCCCCTTTTATTTCCTTTCCCCAAAACTCTTATTTGCCGGCTTAATTATATTCTAAAATTTCGATTTGGGGCAGAAAGGTACTTTATATATTCACGCCTATGCATTCCCCAAATTGAAAAAGAATAGCGCCAAAGGAACCAAATCAACA